AAGTAGTTTAAGCGCTGCACTTAGATGCGTGAACTCGGAACTGCTGTTCGGCTTGTTGCGTCTACTGTTTTTGAAGGCTCTTTCTCTGCGGTTCGCAAGCCGGGGACTGGTTCGATATGTCCGTAAAATATCGTCACCTTCCAGTCAAAGTATCACAAGCGCCATGCGGCGTTTAAAAATTTCTGCCGCCATTTTATTTTATTTGCAGAGGTTGAATCAGTTTGAAAATTTCGCTGAATTTTATCGGTAGCAGAAAGAAAATTCAGTGAAATTTTCGGAGAGCTTCGTAGATAAATATTTCTGTAAAAATAAAATGATGGCGGAAATCTTTAAACGCCGCATGGGGCTTGTGATACTTTGCGGCCGGACGGTGACCAGACCATATCTAGATCCGTACATTTTGGCCGTCATGAGTAGGATGATTTTGAGACTTTTGTTTTCCCGGAGGTAGCAATGAGGGTGAAAATGAAGCTTTTAAAAATTAGACTCATTGTTACTCTTGTGCCCAAGCAAAAATAGTTGTTTAAAGACCCTTCGGTAATGATAAAAGTTTGGGAAATTATCCAGAGCGCTTTAAAAATCAATCGGATATTTCAGAGTTGATAAGTTAATCATATCCTATCGTAAAAGAAGGGATTAATTGATACCAAGTCACTTAAGCACCTACTGAAACAGAGCCTATATGACACTTGCTCGTCCGCGCATACGTATCAAAATGATAAAAAATTCGGTTGGTTAAAAGTATACAGAACCCTTGCAAAATTGTAGATGGAACAGCAATACCGATGGCCAAAGTACTAAACCACGCACAGTGCACGCTCGCTAATTCCTAGCCCTTTACTCCGAAAAGCTCTTTAATTCGAAGGCGGGGCTGATCTTCTTGAAACAAACCCTTTAATTTGAAAATTTGCAGTATATTTTGTCCCTCTCGATTATTCAAAATTTTGAGCGCCAAGCCGACTTGATAATTAGCTCTATGATTCGAAGTTCGCGTATTCATTCGGTTTGAATTTAAATTATTCAGATCGAATTTCGTCGAAAATTCAATTTTGAAAATTAAGTCCTTACTGCTCTTTTGTACACGACGAAAAAAAACTTTGAATCATGAGCTGCAGCAATCACAGCAAAGCTTCAGAGCTCGAGTCTTACGAACAGAGGATATGAACCGCCGTGATGATACTCTTGAGTCGCGGCAGTCATCAACAGAAATTTGAAACCACATTTTCAGAAACTGGAAACGTGTGTTGAGGTGCCTTCGCGCAACCGACAAGAAAGAGGTAACAAATAACAATTCTAGGAAATCGAGGCAACGGGGATTAAAGACCGGCGAATCATAGTTACAATGCCAGTGGACCATTTCCGAGTGTGTACTTCGTATTGCTGAAAAATTGACGAGTGATTCCAGGTAAGTATCGAGTTTTTTTCACACTCAAAATTAAAAGCGGAATTATTTTTCTTAAAAAACGTGAGTCGAAATTGGTGATTCCTATAATCGACAAAAAAATCGTGTTTAAAATAGACCCTTTGAGTAGGCTATGAACCATTATAAGGTCAAAGCTAAGGGGAAAAATTCGACAAAGCTAAGGCGGAAAGTCCTTATGATGGCGTGTTAGGTGTATTTTACGAAGTTTATTGGGTCAAAAAATCGTGATACGAGGCTAACATTAGGGTGGACCACAAAAAATGAATTTCGGAAATTTATAGCCGTAACCTCCTAAATCGGTTACAGCATGTTCAAAAACACGGAAAATGAAATTTGGGATCAATCGGACAAAATTTACCCGACGCGCAGTTGCCATTTATCCCCGCAAAAATAGCGAATTTCTACTGTTTTTCAGTAATTTTTCGCTCCCAAACAATAAAGTCGGAGAAGTCTGCAAATAAAACAGAGGGCAAAATTAGTTCATAGACTACACCCTAGTGAATTTTTGGTCCCCCTCCGTCAAGCCTATAGAGATCTGCAACAACGAGAATGGGAGCCGCTACTGTATCTTGCACGAACCCGTTCAACTTTTGCGTTATTTTGAGATATTTAACTTTACAGATGCCTAAATTGTAATCAGAGTGTGAAATTAGTAGCTTAGATGCTCCTAATGCTATCCTCTTCTGATAATTTTGACACGCTGCGACGTTGCCATTTTTCTGAGCAAAATCGTGAATTTCGACTTATTTCAATATCATCTCTCTAGACCTAAAAAAAAAACTCAGGAGCCATCGAAAAAAGGCGCTAAAACACGGTGATTATATCATGAGTATCTTTTTTGAACATTTGGACCCTGTAAAATGTTTTAGTCGGCATGAAATTACCCCTTAGCAAACAGTGGTTGACAGTAATAGTCAATTTTCATACGTTAAGGCGCCTTCAATTACATTGGATACCGTGCAATACTTTCGTGGTGGAATAGTTGCATTGGCGCCTACAAACCTAACAAGGATACTGCATGCATTGCGCAATGAGTGAAGTATCCCTGTGGCAACTGCGCGTCGGGTTAATTTTGTCCGATTGATCCCAAATTTCATTTTCCGTGTTTTTGAACATGCTGCAACCGATTTAGGGGGGTTACGGCTATAAATTTCCGAAATTCATTTTTTGTGGGCCACCCTAGACATAACTGCTCTCACTCCGTGAACGATATCTAATGGGATGTCCCACTTTGAGGGTCACCTCCGAATTTTGATGGTGAAACCTCCTAAATCATTGACCTCACTTATAAAAATAAGATTTTACTCCAGAAGAAAATTAAAAAAAGAATGTTAAGGGTTGCGCACGGGCAAAATCCTTCCCCGGCTTCGAGCCAAATTCAGCGTTTTGCCCACGTTAACGATTTTATTACTCCATTAGGATTCAGCTAGAGCTTTAAAAAATTCAAGGTGAGGAGTCGACGAAAAAAAAATCCGAGACCTCCACTTAGCTCGAAACGAGCCAACTGATTTGGACGGTGGTAAATTCCGCCGTTTTTCGAGGCCACGAAAAATGTAAATTCCACCTACTCTTCTCCGCGAGTAATTGTAAATTCCGCCGAATGTGTAAAAGGTAAATGTTTTTGAAGCGGAAAGCAACTGAAAATGCGTGTGAGCGGCCGGCAAAAACTGTTCATAGTGTCTTTAAGGTTAAATCTTTTGATGAAATAACGACTAGGGATCTCTCCTTAATAAAACGAAACGCGTATAATGCGCGCCGAAAAAATGGTCCGGTTCTGCCGCAAAGTANCTCCACATAACCAGCTCGATCCAAGCAAGTCTGATACTGAGACTAAGACTAAGAGAACAGCTTTTGGATGCCTCGTGCGTGGAAGTCTTTCAGCTGACCGCGGATGAAAGAGTGGACGGCTTGTTTGACCTCTTCCACTGATTCAAAATTAACTCCTCCGAGTTCAGATTTCAGATACGATAATAAATGGCAAACCAGACCACCATTTATTCCCGCTCCTGAAATCTGGACTCGGAGGAGTTAACTTTGAATCAGTGGAAGAGGTGGTGGAGGTGGTGGGTGGTGGAGGGTTTAGAGGTACTTATTGAACGCCCCTCGTATCACTTTGTACTCGAGTTAGGTTGAGATTAGGTGCAGATTCAAAGTGTCGGGTACGCTGTCACGTTGCAGCCAGAGGTTGAGAAGCAGAAGGCTTACTTACAGGAACAAATTGAAAAAATTAAAGAACAAAAAAAGACAGATTTAAATTCTTCAAGAAAGTTTCTTACCAGTTTAGCAACTTACGAAGTAAAAACTATTTGTTCCTTCATTTTAACCAAATTTTAGTTCTTAATCCAAAAGTTATACGACGAGGGGCTCTTTACACCCTTAAGATGTGTTTTTTTTTTTTTGTGTGTATTTTTAACAGTGTTCGAAACTCACCTTTGAGTTTCAGGAGCCATGTGCCGCAACGAGCTCGATTTTTAGGGGCCAAGAGACTTTAAAGAATTTGTTTCCAAGTGCCCAGGCGGCAGATCTATTTTTAACTTTTATGAAAAGTACCACTATCTGGATGCAATATTCGTAAATTAATTAAACAGACTATTAATTTATGCCGAGATGGATTCAAGTGAATCAAAAAAAATCTCAGCACGAAGATTTGATTGAAGAATTTTTAGGGGCCAGATTGACTTTTTGCCCGTATACCACGGTGCATTAAGTGAAAAATAAGACGCAAGATGTGTTCGTCACGTGATTTTTAGGGGCCACGTTGGCGCAGAACCATCATTTTTTAGGCGCCATGACCGATTTCTTAGGCGCATTCGGCGCTTTGGCGCCTGCGAGTTTCGAACACTGATTTTTAACGTCATCAAACAACAGCTATCATCCTTAGTTCAACTCATAGCGCCGCTTAAGAGGTAAGCAATTTTGTCCTATTCCAACCCTCTGAGAGAAGAAGAAGAAGTGAAAACGAACTGTGCGATATTTTATTCATTACTACATTTTAAATGTTTCTTTGGTTAAAATAATATGTCTAATTGTCAATTGAGTGCATTTATCATTATAATCCCGGTTAAATACTCGACTTTAACTACTTTGTATTCCCGCGCAAACTAGTCGCAGGACTGTATGAGCCCCGTCCCGTGGAGACGGTAACTGGGAAAAATCCCAGGAGTTTCATTCCCGCGATTCGAACTTGGGACAAATCCCATGAAAACGTCCCGTGGAGACAAGGCCTAAAAAACATTTACCGGCGGAATTTACACTCCGAAAATACGGAATCGGCGGAATTCACAGCCTCCCATTGATTCGGCCGATCAGAACTTTCACTCTCGATATCAACTCGATGAATGCATGGGTCTCACGGTCAAGTCGGCGCGAAAGATGAAGCGCGCGCTGGCGCCTGATCTCCGTGATCTATCGCGCGGACGCCGCAAGAGAGAGCATTCGGCGCGTGCGAGCGGGCCCGGAAAAACAATCGTCCGAATTCATAAACTATCGTTATCAGCGGGCACCGACGTGCTGGGAGCGAGAAAACCGCGGGCAGGCGCCCGAGATAGGAAATTCGTCAAAATGCTTAAAACCGGAGGAAAACAGCGCCTGCTCAGTAGAGTTCTACGACTTTGCTGAGGATATGGTTTCCACGTTAGGAGTAAGTACTTTTTTCATAATTTTCACTCCCCGTACGTTTTTTTGAGGTTATTAAGAGGTATTTCATCCTAAGAGGATTAATCAATGAGGTTCACACAAAAATGAGACGAAAGTGGTATCAGACGAAACTGAAGGCTCTCTGAGATGCTTTACAAGTGTGAACTGGATAGGAGGTGCGTGAGATCTTCATAATTGAGGGCTTTGGAAGACAAGGACAAGTGTATGGTTTTTGAAACAAATGAGATATTAATGATTTCAAGTAAAGTTGGTCTGAATGCACATTCTAGAAAAAATTCGCTCCATAATTCCAATTTTTAAGCATCAAAAAGTCCGTTTGAACTTTCTCTCAGCCATTATAGGAGCCATGTAATTTCAAAACTTCAAACACGTATTTCTCATTAAAGCAAAAACAGCACTTATGCGCCTTTTCCTCCAAGCCCCTCAATTCATGAAATATTTATTTCAGGATTTTACTGAAATTAATAACATGGATAACCCCAAACCCGTAAGATTTGACAAAAAGTATGATTTGAATAGACGTGAGCACCCACAACAGAGGTATTTAGATTTTAAAGCTGAACTTGTCCGCATTTTCCAACGCACCGGTGCAATTTATTATGGGGCTGCGAGGACAAGGTGTTTCAGTGCAGTTTTCGAAAAAATCGTGATATTTAAGATTTCAAGTAAAACTGGTCTTAATGCATAATCTGTGAAAAATTGGCTCCCAAATTCCAATTTTCACGCATCAAAAGATAAGTTTGAACTTTTTTTCTGCCATAAGAATCCATGTAATTCGAAAATTCAAACACGTATTTCTCAAAATAGCAAAAACCGCACTTGTCCTCCAGGCCCCTAATTTAGTGTTTGAAGCAAACTTTTGCTAGGATGGAGGGGGTCAACTTAATCGGTTGATTGATGGTTGATTTGTTGCAAAGTTTTGCTGAAAGTGGTAAGGGGTGAAATTTATGGGCTCGTTAGAAACTCTGGCGGGAGGGAAAATGAGAATTGTTTCATGAGAAAAATGACTGAGGAATCACGATGATCGTGTCAGGAAAGTTTATAAATCCCGCAAAACGTAACGATCTGCATATGAAAGTTTCGCATTTTGGACCTCCCCATTTTAAAAAAGAATACTAACTACATCGGAGATATGATAATTTGATGCAGGCAATTTATGCTGGTTTCAAAATCCCACATGAAACTGAGGAATGGCCATCGTAATGTGACACAATGCCTCCATTAAAAACAGACAATAAATCACTTCTGTACTTGTTACACGTAATGTGGAGGGAAGGAAAGTGAGGATAGATGAATCGCTAGTTTTTAGAAAGTGTCAGATTCCGAAATTTTAGATGGTGAAAATCCAGTCAATGAAAAAAAAAAAACGGTATCAGCTGAAAATTGTCGATGAGTGAGGATTGTTTTTGAATCACGTCCGCAACTTGAGGCCGCAAAGCTCCGCAGTCGAAAAAATGAAATTTCTCAGTGCTTTCATTCAATTTGAAATTTTTTTTAGCCTTGAAGTTACGTTATTTTTGAAACATCCAAAAGGGCTAAGCACGATGCCCAGCCCTTCTAGGTCAAGTACAAGATACTAAGCTAAGAAAAAAATTAAAGGTGCGCTTGAATGTAGAAACCGTTTTTTCAAAATTTCTGGCTAATCCATAAGAGCATCTACCTGCATAGGGAAACGTATGATATATTTGATTTTTTTAACATGGGCCAGAAATTGTAGTTCCTAATCGCAAACTGCAGTCCAACTGATGCAGTGCTGTGCCTAAATTTACACAACGACTTAGTATTCGTCACGACTCGAATTCCTTCGAAATTTTGAAGTATTAAAACCTGTCTGACTGTCGGTTAAAATTTCAAAAGATTAAAACCGTTTTGCATGTATAAAACAATGCATCACAACCACATTGTTTGTTGGCGGTTGTTTTTCACTCTGTATGCGCAGATATAAGTCTCTGCTAATTTTGTGAATTTTATTTCACATAAGAATTTCGTCGCCAAAAGCCGAAGACAATAACACTTTGATAAATTATTGAAAATTTCTTAGCACTTCACTGAAATGTCACATTCCATCTTGGTATAAAATAATATCTTCAATCCGGTTTACTTCTACACCTGATCGGGTGAGACAGCTCCGGAAATAGATGCTCGATAAGTCGGTAGATTCGGTCTAAATCGTGTTACATAAATGTCGTCGGTATCTAAGGTCTAATGAAAATTCGCAAATTCATGTAATTACTATGATTACACATTTTACACCCAACTATTAGTCATCTGTAAGAACACTCTGGTGATGTTCACCTGTCGCCTATCATGTACCATAAATATTATTAAGGTCTACCTTAAAGTATAGTGTTTATTCTAAGCTTTGAGACAAAAGATTTCAGATAATGCGGAGAAAATGAATACATTTTTAAGCGAGCAATAATTCATCAGGAGTAGAGGGCCTCAGAATTAAGGTTATACTTAATTCTAAGAAACCACTTTTTTTTGGAAAAGCAACATGATGGAGTCTCAACAAAAAGAAAGTATACCTAATGAAGCAAATTGACAGCGACCCTAAAAAGCAGTAAGATTTCCGGGGAAAATGTGCGTTCGTGGAATTTTACTACGCTTCTTTTCTGCACAGACATTCAATGTAACCATCCACAAAAAAAGAAAACTTCGTTCACCAAAACTCAAAATGAAATACCTTAAGGCGTGAAGGGAAGTTCACCGATCTTGTTAGACAAAAGACGGCCAAAAAAGAATACCTGTTTAGAATTCGGAACCGAGTTATGTCAGTTAGAAGCTGAAATTTCTACAAGGAGAAATTTCGAGAAAAATATGCTTAAATATAAAATATAATCTGGTAATGATATGAAATCGCTACTCTTTCGAGCACATCTACATCTTTAAGTGACCTTTAAAGTGAACCAAAACGTTTTCAACTTGTTTTAAAGGATACTTGAAAGACCTTTCCGTCAGAATCTAAAACTCAAATTGTTTTACCCTGAATGGTTTTACAAAAATTTGGTCTCCGAGGCCTGAGGTTTCTCATCTCGTACATAGTACAGCAGTTATTGATACAGAACCATTTTCTAATAGATTCACGTGATATCGTAGCATTACGTCGAAGTTATAAGTTCTGAATCGTCTTATGTAATTTACCCATGTTTGCACTAGAAACCTGCTGGCCTCTGTGACCACTGATTCGGAACTTCAGGATGCGATCTTCTTACTCAGTCGCTCATTACAACTGCGCGGGTCGAACAAAGCTAGGAATTTCAAGAAAAAGAACGAATATTCCCACGAGTTACATGAAAATCACGGCGTGTTTCATTAATTTTGCTGATGAAGAGTTAAAGTTCCAAATGTTTCGGGTTTCGCGAGATTTGAATTAAGACCTGCGAAATAATTTTCCTCCCTAGAAACAGACTTTTGGCCACGTGTTCTTATTTGTATTCTATATTAATGGATTTTTCCTAATGGAGGAACATGTGATACACATAGTGTGTGTGATAACACTTTTCAGCGCTTTCTTCTTGTTTATAGCTGGAATAGCAATAAAGTGCACTGGAAAAAAAACACATTGGATCTGGAGTCCAGACTGTTAAAACATCAACAAGAAAAAATACTCTTGATTCAATCAGAATCCAGCTTAAATCAAGAACCAAGCCTCTTGATTTAAGCGGATTTTGTTTTGATTCAAGCAAAAATCCGATTGAATCAAAGAGTATTTTTTCTTGTCAATGTTTTCAAGAGTCTCGACTCTAGATCCAATGTCTTTTTTTTCCAGTGAAGTCTTTAAAATTGCCTTCCATGGGTCCATGAAAATCTTCCGTAAATCATACTTAACCAAAATTTATTGACAGATATCATAATTCTGAAAATAACTAGCAAAAGCTTTCACGACAATGACCGACGTTGATTGTGAAAATGTCGTGCACATTATGTTGAGATCCACGGTGCTGCCGTGGGACGCGCGTAGAAATTAAGATAAATTCATCTCACCAAGGACCAACACACTTGAATCCATGGTTGTTTAAAGGAAACGTATCAATTTTCGGATGGGCTCTGAAGTGAACAAGAACTATCACACTAGGAGGCTCATCTAATAATATGCGTGTTCCCTTCCAACAGCCAAAGATTCATTTCTCCACCTCTTTCCTCGTCTGAATTGCACGTATTTCTGTCAAACGGTACTATGTGCATTAGGACATGAGCCCTGAGACGCATACGCACGCATGCATAACAGGGCTCACGTCATAATAAACATAGTTCCGTTCGGCAGAGATACGTCCAATTTACCGATTACCCTTTGAAATATCGACGCGGTTTAAGGCAGCAAAATTTTCAAGGTCGCCAAGGCTCGCGTATTCGGCGTGTTATTCCGACACAGTGTTGAGTTCGGCTAAAATTACGGGTGTTGAATCCGCCGACTAGCGTTTCAAATATTTAATATCCATCCACTAATCTCCGAGCGAAGCGGAGTTTTCTTCACCTGAGCGAAAAAGTCTTAAGCCGTACTACAGTGTTTCAGTTTCGCCTCATGAGATGATATTTTCACCGAGGGTTCTACAAGTTGTTTCACGAAAACCATCTCAGGGTAGGTTTATAAATATGTCGGAGAAAAATCAGGGTTAAGAACTGAGAGTAAAATTGCGATCGGTTACCTGCAAAAAATTGTTTCTTGGGAGGAATACACTGAATTACTGCAATCGACTTAAGACGCTTCGCCTGAGGACGGGTGTTTTAGCTCAGCATACCAGACGCAATGAGTGTGGGCGCAGGTAACAAAGGCAGAATTTATTTTAAACTTTAATGAAGGTTTCATTTTTAGAGAGGGCATTCTCGCGGAGATAGAGAGGCAGATCTAATTTACCGGGATCGTTTCGACCTGTATTTAGTGGTTTGCGATATAGGTTGATAGTTCTTTGTTTGGTTTTCCTCTCATGCTCGGCAAATTGAATTTACTTCAACCGAGAGAAGGAGGAACGAAAGACGAAG